CGTTCGCGCAATATATCAGAGATGCCTAGAGCTAGAGTTCTACCCAGGCTGCTGGCGCGTAGCAGAAGTAAGAAAGACCGTACGTCAGCACGGTCAATGCGGCCGATAGCCCTACTCTCATGCATTGGCAAGGGGCTGGAACGCCTAGTGGCAAGAAGAGTTGCTACAACAGCAATGACGCACGACATCATCAGCCCACAGCACGTAGGAGCTGTTCCAAAGCGATCGGCTATGGACATTGTAGCGGCATTCACGCACGATGTAGAACAGGCTCTGGCAGTAGGCAAACGCGTGACTATGATCACGATGGACGTGCAGGGAGCATTCGACGCGCTTCTCAAGAACCGGTTACTACACCGGATGGCCCAGCAGGGCTGGCCACCAGCCTGTGTCAGGTTTATTGACTCTTTCCTATCAGGACGCTATGTACAGGTACGACTAGGCGACGAGATTACACCACGCCACCTAGTCGCCTGCGGCACACCACAAGGATCTCCGCTATCGCCAATTCTCTACACGCTTTACCTAGCCGAGCTTCTGAATCAGGACAGAACGCTACGCTTTGGATATGCGGATGACATTAATATCTACAGAGCGTCAAAAACCCTAGACGAAAATGTCCAGCTACTAGCAGAAGATATACAGGCAATTAACCAGTGGGGTGCACAGAATAAGGTTACCTTTGCCCCAGAGAAGCTAGAAGCGATCCACATCACCCGCCAGCGAGACAGCTACTCCCCAAGTATACCTTTGTCCGACGCAACAACGCTAGAACCAATTGCGCCAGCTGCAGATAGATCGCAGACAGCACTACGATGGCTCGGAGTGTGGTTTGACCGCCAGCTTAGCTTTAAGCACCACGTCGCCTATAGAGCAGCAGCCACCAAAAAGCTTGCTACTCACCTAAGAGGCCTCGCGAACACAGCTCATGGCCCGCCCCCAGATGCTATGCGAAAACTAGTAACAACATGCGTGTTACCTTCACTACTGTACGGAACAGAGGCTTGGTATGAAGGACGAACAAGAAACCCGAGAACGAGAAGGAAAGACAAACCTATCTCTGTGAGCACGAGAGTTGGACAGCATATCACAGCTATCCAGACTATACTTATACAGGCTGTAAGAGCAGTACTACCAGTATATAAAACAACGCCCCTCCCAATTCTCTTTAGAGAAGCTGGGATACCATCAGCGGAAGTTGCACTTGAAGAGGCTAGGTGGCGTCTCGCGCTGCGACTCCAGACAACAGACCATCAGCACCCTCTCACCCACCGAGCAATTGTACCACACAATCAGTCTGGCACCAGGGTAGGGGAGAGGCAACAACCAAGAACTAAGATCCAGAGGCTAGGCCTACTTTTGCCAGCTATCCCCCGGCCAGCTCTAATAGCGCCGCACTTCTCGCAAGGGTGCCGCACAGATCCGACGCTAGGAATGGAGAAGAAAACAGCTGCGAAAGAATTCAAAGAATGGTGGGCCTCTCTAGATAGCAGCACGATCACAATCTTCTCTGATGGATCGGAACAGCGCTG